TAATCGTGCCGGGACTTGTCATTGCAGCCAATGACAGCGTCGTAATGTCGGCGTCCCAGTAGGGATTCCCTGCTTCGGTACAAAGGGTCTCTGTTCAGACTTCTGAAGTGGTTTTCCCACTTCACAAGCAATATTTTGCATTTGAAACCGGGCTACGGTCTGCATGAGGAGCGCCTCAGTAAACTGTTGGAACTGAGGACCTCCAACTCTGCGCGGACACTGCTTATATACTTGGGGGCAGGTTTATGATACACTGGTTAAAAATATTACGCAACATATTCCTTAAAAGCATATATCACTTGTAAACCTTCTGTTCTAATTCTTTGTATGAAGGCTAACCTAACCGTACACCTATCGTACCTTGCGGAGAGGCCATTCCTTGTAGCTTAGGATCACTTCGTGATCAGTGTGACGATAGCCATCATAGGTAAAGTGTCGGAAACAATAATACTATAATTTTGGAAGTCTGGTAGCAGGATAGCGCGAATTTGATTACCTTCACAAGCTTCATGGCTTAAATGTGCTTTGCAAATTTTTAAGGTCTTAGGGGTCATTCTTTTTGGTAGCGACTGTGGGCTATGTTGATTTCTGATCAGAAAAAGGGTAAAGTTAGTGAAGATTTTATCCGTTGCGATATTGCCAGCATAAAATCTCGCCTCTTATTTCCCTTCAAAACATTCTTTTCGAGAAATTTGGAATGAGCTGTATAGATTCTGTCAGAGAAGTTAATCTAGTAATGCTGAAACTTTAGGGCAACAACTCGAAAGTATCGCTGGTGTACGGACAGATGAACGAGCCTCCAGGTGCTCGAGCTCGTGTGTGCCTGACTGGTCTAACAGTCGCTGAATACTTCCGTGACAAAGAAGGACAAGATGTGCTACTGTTCATCGACAACATTTTCCGTTTCACCCAAGCCGGTTCGGAAGTGTCTGCTTTGCTAGGACGTATTCCATCTGCTGTAGGATACCAGCCTACCTTGGCCACTGATATGGGTACCATGCAGGAGCGTATTACCACTACCACCAAGGGATCGATTACATCAGTACAGGCTATCTATGTACCTGCTGATGACTTGACCGATCCTGCTCCGGCCACCACCTTCGCTCACTTGGATGCCACCACTGTATTGTCTCGAGGTATCGCTGAATTGGCCATCTACCCCGCTGTCGATCCCCTCGACTCTACCTCGCGTATCATGGACCCTAACATCGTCGGACAGAGGCATTACGATATTGCTCGTGGAGTACAGAAGATTCTGCAAGACTACAAATCTCTCCAAGATATCATCGCTATCTTGGGTATGGACGAGTTGTCTGAAGATGATAAACTCACTGTATCTCGCGCGCGTAAGATCCAACGTTTCTTGTCTCAACCATTCCAAGTTGCTGAAGTGTTCACTGGTCATGCCGGAAAGTTCGTATCATTGGAAGAGACGATCCGAGGATTTGAAATGATCTTGAAGGGTTAGTTTTATATCACAGCACGTTCCATTGCAAGATCTTTATTTTTGCTTTGCTGAAATACTAAAATTTGTCAAGCATAAAGGGCCGGGCATACCTTCACGCGGTTTCAGTCGCGACGCGATTTGGCAGTTCGCCAGAAGCCTT